CTGCCCTCTACAGCTAAGATGCTGAACAACAGCTCAACCTGGAGCTGGGCTGCCAGTGAGTCGCTGGTGACTGCATAGGCTGCAGCCCCTGCTGCAGTGAGTTGCCATGGGCTACCGTGTGTAGCCAGCAGCCAGCGTGAGTGGCCAGCAGCCAGCAGCCTCAGTGAGCAGCTGTCCAGATGCCGGCGACTGATATGGTGCCAACTTGAGCCAGTGAAGCAATGTCCTCCACAACTAGACTGAAGAACCAAAGGACAGCAACTTGTCTGTTCCCCTTCCCCCAATTCCCCAGCGCTGTTCCCATCCCCCAATTCCCCAATAAAAATATTAAAAAACAAAACAAAACTTTAAAAAAAAAATTTATCATGGCCTATCGGGTGAGCCATTTAAACTTTTACTCTTGGTGAACGTGAGCAAGAGAGAACAAGGAAAAAGATAAATTTTCAGAGCCATGGTAGAAGGCTAACGTTGGCAAAAGCTCTAATCAAACAGTCTCCCCTCATCCTCACCCCACCCCCAATTCCAGTCTTCTGATAGATCGTGGATTTTGTCATTCCTCTGTCTCCCTCTCTGTCTAAAACTATCCTACCAGCCCAAAAAATCATGCTTACCATAAAATGAGTCCTAATTTAAACAAATTCCAATGCTAGTGAATAAATGTGACCCCATTTATTATATCCTATAATTGAATTAGAAATAGCCATAGCAGAGACAGGTTAATCACTTAAGGTATTTAATTCTTCAGCCTTAGAAATCTCCTGTATCTGAACAAAATAATTGCATATTTTGAATTCTTTCCTAACTTAAAAAAAAGTGAATACTGTTGCCTTTTCATTTTATGTTACTTCACTACCTACATACAATCTGCTTTATTTTATGTAATTGGTGTTAAGTCACAAAAATGGACTCTGATGAACTCACTTGATGCTAATGGAAAAATACAAGCTATTACACCCCCTAATGCTCACCATTTAATGCCTTCATTGGATGGGGTGCTTGACCAGTGGGGATGGGCCGGGCAGGGAATAACAGCACTGAGGCCAGTGTCTGGGTTTGAACCTTGACTGCATATGTGTTGGTGATGAGGCTTCGGCAAGTTACCTAACCTTTCTGTGCTTCTATAAAATGACGATGATAATAGAACCTATCTCATAACGTTGTTGTAAGGATTCAAAGAGATAATACATGCAAAGCACTCAGACTAGTATACCTGGCACAGAGCAAGACTTTAGAAAAATGTTAGCTTTTATCACTACTAGGTACTGGATTCACGGGTCCAACGGGATGGTGCACTCACTCATGACGTTTTTGCTAAAAGCTTATTATGTTCAAGGCATTTGTGTGACTATAAAGATGCAAGATACTCCTACCAAAAAGACTTGCACGGAGGAGTCCACACCATTCTCTGTGTGGAACGATGAGCAGCTGATTATCATTGTCTGGGCAGGGGGCTGAGTGTGCATGTGTGGAAAGGCTGCAAGATGAGAATTCATCCTAAGTGTGACCTTGAGCACACATTTTACCTCTCTAAATATTGGTGTTCTGATCTTGAAAATGAAGTATTGGACAAAGTGGTCCCTAAACTTCCTAGGGGTTCTACATTATCTTTATGAAATAACCTCAGACCAAAAAGACAAAAGTCTGAAATATAATTCAAAGTCAGCGCAAATAAATCTGGCAAAGGAAGAACATATGTCCAAACAAAAAGGGAAATGGGGTTCATACTGTTACCTTCACCATCACTGATTGATATAGAATTTGTCATGAGACCTAGTACGTTAGACATGGTCAGGAAAAAAAAAAAGGAAAAAAAGGAGGAATGGAAAAAGGAGTGCTAGATGAGGTATTTAGTGATAAAGGAGAACAAATTACCATAGGACATATATAGACATTGTCTAGTCAATGTTGAAAGAGAGAATGCGAATAAGAGAACAAATACCATTTATTGGTTGTTCTCTAGGTACTAAATATCCTATTAAGCACTTCCAATAAGTTAACTCATTCTGTCTTAACAACACCCTATGATGAAGATGCTACCACTCCCATCCACAGATGAGGCCATCGCTTTCCAGAGAGGTTAAATCACCTGTCTAAGGTCAGCAATCTATTAAGTGGCAGAATCGTGATTAAAATCAACTTAAACACTCATATATACAGGGAACTACTGCCCTTAGACATGACTTGACATAAAAGAATGGAATGGGGCATCAGCTAAGGATGATTTTGGAATGAAATACTATCATTTAAAAAGCAAGAATAATTCTTGGTTGCAGCACAGAAGCATGTTAAAAAGATAGCCTTCTAAATCTATGGTTTGAATTTGGTTTTAAATTTTAAAATTTTCAGAATGTACTATGTGTAGATTTCCTTGATATATATTCCATTAGATAACTAAAGTCTGACCATGTTTGTTTGTTTGTTTGTTTGTTTAAGTTATAAAAAGATATTTTTAAAAGTAAGGAAAAATAACCCAAGTCACTTCCAAGATATAGAAATACAAGAATAATAGTCTGAAAAGCAAAGCAAAACTATAGATATCTTTGGAGCACACAAAAGCCACCTTCTTATAAGTGGTTTGAAATGTGTGGAGAAAATTGCCATTCAGAACCAAGAACACTGGGCCTTTTCAATGAAACTTTGCAGCAGTTTCGGGGGGTAAGGGTGGGGACTAAGTATTAATTATGTTGTTGGCTCCTCTCCATTTTTGCTAGGCAAGCAGGTTGTGGAGGTGAAGAAATCACTTCTATAAGCATCTATGAGACTCAAGGTTTAAAGAAAATGTAATGTATAAGATTAAACTGGTAATCAACACGCCATTTACGTGAAACCGTGTCATGTCTAACACACCCAAAGCTAGTTCTCAATTCAGAAAATCTCTTTAAAAAAGGGGGGTGGGGGATGGAGGGTGGGAAGACTTTTAAAGGGATACTCTGTCTTAACTCTAAATTGCCAAACCCAATTTCAACTTAGCCCTTCAAATCTGAAAAAGCTACTTTCACTCCTGAATTTGGAGACTATAGACAGTACCGTTGGATTCATTTAAACCTGTGATCACTGTCAGCACACTACCATTATAGAATAGTCAGATTTTTGTTAAGGAAAACATGGAAACAGCTTTAGATGGTTTTAAAAAAAAAAGATGGAAAGAACATGTCAGTGGGAACAAAATCCCCATGAAAGTTGAAACAGATTCCTTTTCTTACTAAGGAGCCTTGGAAATAATCAACATGTTGACACTTTCATTAGGTCTATTCTATTTTATGAACATTAACTACTCCATCTCCCCATCACCTCTGTGGGAACGAGAAGTGGTCCCATTTTTCTAACTAGGAAAATCCTGGAGTTCAGTGAAAGAAAACAGGGTGAAAGCTGAGGCTTCTCTTTGTCTCCTGTCTGGAATATCCAATCTCTAGACTGCTCCATCAGATGCCTGAGACCACACTAGACTTTTAAAGTTGTAAACCCAAATAAATATAGCATGTTACATATATTTACAGAAAATGATAATGCAAACCACAACAACAAATAGTCTAAGAGACATACATTTCCTGGGTGGCAAGTTACCCACAACTTATAAAACAGGGACAGAAAAACCTAAAGAATGAAAAGAAGAAGAAGAGTAGATCTTCCTTACATTCTACTGAGAAAAGATAGGGAAAAAGAGAGATGGAGGAGGAAGAGATGGTGGGAGGAGGAGGTGGAAGGGAGGACAGAGAGAGAACCTCTAAAAAAATAACTGGAGGGTTATTTTGAATCAGGAAATATTCAGAAGTTTGACTACTTTTACATATAACTGAAATGAAATAAAATTGAATTAATGTTTTGTAAATTGAATCCTAACTGTAATTTTACAAACTTTGACAAAATAAAGGTAACTTACACAGACCAGAAGAATGTCCCAGCTTTCACCCCTTGCTTGGTGGCTGTAATCCATAGCTAATGAGGAAAATATAAGAGGCTTATAACATGTTCTGGGTTTGGGTCAAAGGGAAAAAAAAAGGTTTTAAAACATATTAGATCAGATCTCTTATGCTTACCCACAACACACCATAAATTTCACATTATTTGCAACCCCCTTTTTTTTTCACATCTGGAAATCAGAATCATTATTTCCATAAATGTTATTTGATACATTCTCTGCAAAAGCTTTCAAAGGCTCTGCTATGATTCTAGGGGCATTTTTTTAAACTTTTATTTCATCTCAAAAGTCTCTTCTGTACCTGTGTTATCTGATGATTGTTTTGAACATTGCACTTATATGACAGAATTCTGCTCATCAAAGAACACAGGAGTGGACCATATGTTTCCTTTCCTATTGAAAACCCATAGAGGAGACCCCCAATTTGGCACACAGATGCCAGGATATTGGGATCCAGCTTTGTCTTGTTTTGTTTTAAACTAGGTGAATGAATAGGGGAAAAAAATGGTTATTTTCTATTCTGGATTTTCCCTTGTACCTTTTACCTAGACTTTGAGTAAATGGAATTTTAGGAATACATTCCTGGAATAAGTTAGGCGAACCAAGCATTTCATTAAGACTTTTTAAAGATTCTTTCCAGCTCATGCTATTGGGAGGAGACAGAAACTAGGGCATTGAAGAGCCTGAGCTTGGGAACCAGGTAGCTGGATGTTTAAGTCTTGCCCCTGACATTTATCAGCTGCGTGGTCCTCTGGCAAGTTACTTAAGCTCTCTGTGCTTCAGTTTCCCCTAAAATATAGATACTATTACCTAGCACATAGGATTATTCTAAGCTTTAGGGAGTTCATACATTTAAAGTCCTTAAAGCAGTGTCTTAGCATTTGGTAAACACTTGATCAAGTTTAATCTTAATTATTACACAATAATGGAAATAAACATAATCTAGTTATCCGAGGAACATTACAAACAGCTTAGGATGGCCAGTGTCCCACTGAACGGCCGCCTGCAAGAAGAAACCCACTCACTTTAGGAGGAACACAAAAAGGAGAAGTGTGGCTTGTTTGTTATAAAACCAAAGCAAAACTGGCCCAGGAATTGCAGCCACTCCCTTTTCCAGTTTCATTGCATCCAGACTTTGAGAGTGTCTTACAGACTCCAATGCAAGCCTTTGTTTTTTGAACAAAGGGGTAATTGGGAGGTATGGGGCACTGAGGAGCTTGGCCATGGTTTCAGAAAGGCCTGAGATGCCTGGCCTGGGAGAATTCTGCAAATATTCCCAGCTTCTTGCAGGGGGTAGGGGGAGGGCTGAAAATCCCCAGCCCCCCAAATCACAGCTGCTGCAGCTGGCAAGTGAGGGATAGGGCAGGAGAACATGCTCTTTCGTGTCCTCTCAGATCTGTGGAGTCTGAGCTGTAGTGGATATCATCAGCATGGGAGAGGTGGGGTCCCCGTCCCTTTGGGATAGATCAGAGAGCTAAGGGTCTCGGATTGTTCCAAGTGCCCTGCCAGGGTTTGGTCCAGAGTATCTTTCCACTTTATGTGCAAACTCTGGCATGTCCAGGTGACCCTAGCCCAACCAGGATTCAAATGTGTCTTAGAGTTTCATTCATTCTTATTCCAGCGCCTCCACTAACAAACAGATTCACCCAAACTAAGTGCTGGACACCCCACAGGTGCCTCAGAACCATAACAGACCCTGGAGAGACCCGTTTCTTATGTTAAGTAATCTAGTTTCATACTTATTTTAATTTCAGGGAAACATGCTTAGTGTATTCAGATCCAAAACAACTTCCTAAAAAATCGAGTGCCTTGCTATTTCCAAGAAAGTTGTCCTATGCAATGTTTGGCAGATATGAAATGCAAGATCAATCTGGGGTTTTCTAATGGAATTTTTTTGTTTTTTTTTTTTTGTTTGAATGCCATTTTGTCAGATGATGACCCTGCACTTTCAAAAGTTGTATTGGGGAATACGTGCTGATGTTGGCATTATCTGGGCAACAGGAAGCCCTATAAATAACTTCTAGCTCAGTAACATTCCAGGGAAGAATCACCAGAAGCGGTCTTTGCAGTGGTGTAAGGGGAGAGCGTGAGGAGAGAGGATGACAGAAGTGGGCGTGTTAAAATGATCGTGATGGCAAAGTCAGGATCATTTGTTCTTCATACTTTTCTGTGCCGCCCAAAAACTGTAGGGACAATGCATATCTTTGTAATCAGGGGGAAAAAATTTAACCAATTTTACAAAGCAATGTGAACTATACAGACAATTTAAAGGTTCAACATTTTTATTTCTTCTCGGAAAAAAGAATTCTTCTTTTATTTCTTCTCAAAAAAAAAATCTGTTTGTTGGTAAAAGTCACGTTGACCATATTAACGAGAAGAAAATTGGGAGCCTGGTCAGAAAAGTACAAAAAAGAGAACAAATAAGAGAGAACACTTGAAATTTAAAAACGCATTGAAAAATCTCAAACAAAAAGATCCTAGCAGTAAGAAAGTTGATCTGTCAAGTTTAGCAAATGATATGAGGTCAAAACATAAAGCTCTTAAGTTAAATCAGATCATAAGCTACCAAAGTTCCTTTACACAGGTCATATGTATATATTTCAGAACTCAGAAGTTAAATCTAGTAACTACACAGAAAAATAAAAAGGTATTAAATTGTTGATCCAGAAGAAGAAAAATGAAAAGAAGCCTCTAGGGCTATAAAAGGAGAGAGAAACTAATTCCTAGTTCCTTGTTAATTCAGAGAAATGGAATTACGATTCCTCTGATTTTGAATGTAATATAAATTTCCTCAAAGATTGGCAAAACAACACAGCTAAAAAAAAAAACAAAAAAACTGAGCGGAAGCTGAGAAGACACTGGGTTTAGCCTTTCTGGCTTTATTCCCAATATTTCTTCCATTTCCCTCATGTATCTAGAGGCAGTTTTCAACATTTGTGCCCTAGATGCTACATTTTAAGAAGGGAACACACGGGAATAATATTGTACCTTCTTGATATGTTATCAGGAATAAGATAATAATAAGTATTCCCACTGGAACCAGAAGGATTTCAATATGACATACAACACTTCCTCCAATTAAGTAAAGTATGCAGCTGTGGGAGAAGGGGATAAGTTTTGAAAAAATAAGCAAAAAACATTTTTCAAAACCATGAATTATTATTGTAGTCCTGCTAGCAGTTCTTTGCAGGGAGACTATTCCTTTGCTTTCAAAGGCACAGAGCTGGGATACACTGATTTCTGGGAGACCAGAGGGGTAGGTGGGGCCCTAGTACCAGCAGGAGTAAATCAATCACTGAGATTCAAGAGTCAAAACAAAGGATGTGAGGGTTGGCAGAGGCAGCAGAGGAGACTGTGCAAGTACTGGCAAACAGGCAGAAAAGATCAGCCCAAAATACAGCAGTGGGACACCTAAAAGTATCAGGCTGTGGGTTAGGTCCTGAGAATAACAAGATGAATAAACCAAGTCCCGACTCCCATGGGATCCACAGTCTAAAGTAGATATATGCGTAATTTCAAAAGGATCTGGTCAAATTTATGACAGAAATAATATGGAAACCCAAAGGAGGGTCCCTGAGCTTAGCCAGGGCTGGGGGAGCTTAGCGAAGGCAACATGGGGACAGATATTTCAACTGAAAGCTGGAAGATAAATTAGAGTCTAGCAGCCAAGGGGCCAGTTGAGCGGAGTCCATCCTAAGTCCGTTAAGATACAGTAAAAAGAGAAAAAAATACAGATTTATAGCAGTATATGGAAAAGAAACAACAGGTAAAACTCCTGAAAAGCAAGCAAGCCTCCCACTAGCAGGATAATAAAGTCGACAAAAAGAGGTAAGCAAATGGCTTGCACTTTCCCTCAAGCCCGTCCCATTGGCCTGGAAGCTCACTGCTATTCTAATGCCATTCTTCTTCTCTTTGCTGTGTCTTTCTTGAACACGCCATCTTTCTTGCATGTTGGTAATTCAGTAACTCATAAGGATGCCCTTGGGATACACTGCATCACCATCCTGGCAGAAAACGACAGCAGGCCTAGCAACTGGGAAGCGGTGAGAAGGCCTCTGCCCCTCTTAGAAATGCCTTCCTCCAGAAACTATGGTTGTAGAGTACTTGCATCATGGTGGGGTGTTGGACCTGCTCCTCCAATCTCCACGGGGAATGGGTCCCCTGGAATTTCATGCATCCACCTTGCTGAGTCCAGATTTAAAATAAGCAGGGGATTTGCCCTCTGAGATCTGTCTTAGAGATTGCACGGTAAGAGCAGAGAGGTTTTCCAAAGAAACAAACACACATATAAAACCCCATTACGAGCTCAGAACCTATTTTTGTAATGAGAAAGAAGTAAATGCAACTTTAAAACAACAACGACAAAAAAGAAATCTCATTAAAATACGTAGGAGGAATGTAGGGTCGTACAGTGAATGACAACTTTTAATAAGCATATCCTGAAGAGCAACCAATTAAAAGCAGACTGGACTTGGCTGAAACGGCTACATCAGGGTTAAACAAAAAAAGATGAAATTAAATTATATAAATTATTTTTGGGAGCCTAACGGTGAGATTCAAATTTCAGATGTACACTGTACAGATGCCTCATCCCATCCATCAGGTTTTAAACCAAGATAAGACTGGTTCTTATTCACCATTTAATCTGACTCCTAAATTAGTTAGCCAAATGTCCTTCATGGTTTAATCACTCAGTAAAAAGTAAATTGAGTTTAATTTAATTACCCAAGATTCTAATTTTTACACATAGTTTATAAATATTTTTACCATAAATTTTTTAAAAAATATTTTCTCTGCTCCAATTGTGGTTTTTTTTCCCCCCACTGATGATTTTGTGAAATGTACAAGCCTCTGAGAGGATATATAAATGCTTGAGGACTATTGAGTAAGGCTCAACTTTTTTACATTTATACAATAGTTTCTTTTACTCTTATACTGTAGTTTCTTTTTTTACCTTTATTAAATTTATTGGGGTGACATTGGTTAGCAAAATGATATAGGTTTCACATTTCTACAGTATAATACATCATCTATCTATTGCATGTAGTTTCTTATAGTTTCTGTCCATATGGTCTTCTTATATGCCAAATTTCAATAAACTATGTTTTTAAGTTATAGCTGCTGTGCTCCTTGGAATTCTTATGGCGGCCTCGTGTTCAAGAAGATAGAAACACAAATCAGCTTCACCACAAATCTTGGTCAGCACTAGGAAAGTACTAAACTTGGTCAAATGTGTCAACTTGGCGAGTTAGGGAGGAAACAGGCAAAAACAGTCAGAACAGAGGCTTCGCTTCATTGGGCAGGTCAGCAGCGTTCCCTCGGCTCTGTTTCTTCAGAAGTTAATGACTATGTGGACTCATCTTCTGAGTCAAGCCAATCCACAGGAAACCTAATGTCAACACGGGGTGTAAGGTGATCCAATTTGATAAAATTACTATTTATCTCTAGAGCCTTTGTGGTTCCAGGCGAGTTTGCGTCCATGAAAAAAATTAATATAAACTACCAACTCTCAGTAGCTTGACAGGGCTCTAATTTCAATCATTTTATTTACACATAAACTGCTCCTCTATCATAAACTTTGTTTGTGAAATCCGCCCTGTAAACAAATTTCACTAGGTTGACAACCTAGGTCATCACAGGCTTCTGGGAGTCCAGCCTGAATAAAGACAGCAGGATCAGAACCTCTGCTGTAAAGAAGCTCTTCTACAGACATACAAGAAGTCTTCCAATGTTTATTTTTTTAAAAAAATGAAAAGCCCATATTTAAACTTGCATACTGATGGGTTATGCAATATGAATATTTTTATCACAAGTGACCTTTTCTCATAGAGCAATACCATTTTTTTTCTTACTTTATATTCTCTAGTTTGCCCACAGACTGTAGTAAACATTTCCAGGTATGAGATCATTTAGGGATGGTACGGACATGGATGTGTGCAGACACTGCCCACTGTGCTTGCCGTGAGAGATTGCAGAAAGGGCTCCCAGTTCTCCTTCCTAACCAGCGCTCCAGGAAATCGCAGCCCCCAATCAGAGTTGACATGAGATGGACCCATTTGCCGCCTCTCTACATGTTTCTGATAGACTGTGTTTCTGTGGGGTTGCTGATCCTTCTACCCAGGGTCACGTGCCCTTAGTTCAGTTTTGCACATTCAACAGCTATGGCGTTAGGTTGCTGCTTCGCTCATGTCTGACCAAAGCAAGTTGCCTACACACAGTCACAGGAAAAATATTACGTAGGAAGCCACCTACACCACTTTTTACTTTCTGCTCAGCCATTTGATCAAAGTAAAGAAGATAATTTCTTTCAAAGTATTAATTTGCTGGTCCAGAATCAATGTAGGACTCCACATATGATATGGAACTTCAAAGGCTTTAAAAAACAGATTAAACAAAAGACTTTATGAATTTACTGTCAGTTTCATTGAGTTTGTTTTTTTGGTAAGTTTCCCCATTTCTGTTTATATGTCACCTACACCAAAATTTTGGGGTAATCATAGTCACTGTCTTCTATTTTCCACTGTATCCCCAAATCTCGGAATACATTAATATCTGACTATCTATTCCTTCTTCAAAAATCTGAAATTCACCCTTATGTCACCATTTCCATCACTATCACCCTAATGAAGACACTTACTACCTCCCAGTTTTATAATCATAATCTCACATACACATACACACATATATTAATATATCACACATATATACACACACAGACATGTATATACACACATTATATATGCACATGTGTATAGCCATACACACACATATAAATATATTACATACACATGCATATTATGTACACACACATATACATATTTATATATATATATATATACACATATATATGTATATATATACACACACACACACAATATCAAAAGATAGAAACATTGCCACATATGAGAAAATTACATGCACCTTTTTCACAGGTAAAAAATTGGGGAATGAAATGTTTCAATGCACAGACACACACACACACAAAATCGCAAAACTTACCGGCTGACCTCCCCACCATCTATGATTAAATTTCTCTCGCCCTCGAAGATGGAAAGTGGCATCAAATACAGGATCATACATTGAATTGCCAACAATTCCATGTGATTCTGGATACAGCCCCTTTGAGTGAAAGAAAATTTGTTAAATAACAATATAATAATCTAGCTATATTAGTTCTACCATAAATTTTCTTAGCATAGGAAGTTTTATAGCAATATTTATTTTCCAAATTTATGTAAGATATATATATATATATATATATATATATATGAACAAACAAGAATATTACCTATGGACTAATTATAAGTCATTTGAGAAACTTGACGTAAGAAATTTCATATTTGTTTTTAACAGTTGTAACTTAATAAGATGAAAATTTTTATTACCATAAATTAACCTTTAGATTGAAATGTACTTATGTGCCTTCAAAGAAGCTTCTATTTCTAAATATACTTTTCTTTTTTCCTGAGTTCTATTTCTACCCCAAAGAGCCCCCCAAAATAATTATAATAAAATAAACAAATTAAGTTTTTAAAAAAGAAAGCAAAGTAGAATTGGAAGTATCTGGAAATTAAAGCATAGCAACCCCGAATTCAACATTTTTATTTGAAAATTCAGAAAATACACAATAGAACCTGTGGTTTCTGAGAGAGGTTTAATGTTTGTGTTCAGATGGAACCGTACTTGAAAAAAGGTTTCAGTGTTAAAGTTGCAATGAAGTTTGGTCACCCTCAAAGTTATAAAGGGCATTTACTGTGAACCACTGATACAGATAAGATGCAAAACAGAAAGATTTTCTTTGAGCACTACAGAACCTGTTTTAAAAACCCCTCTTTGAGTCATTTCAGAATGAAACCAGCCCTTTGCATCTACATCATTGGAGAAAATACTTACAGTGGCCAAAGTGTATAAGTTGGGGAAAGTTTTTGTTGGGTACACGGGCCTCATGTAGGGTGAGTGTGTGCCACAAGACCCTAGAAACAGAAATTCAGATATTAGGATAAAAGAGCCACCAGGAATCATTTCATGTATGGAAACCCGTTTTATAAACCACCAAAGGCACGTGTTCCCTTCACTTTTGTACTTCAAACACACATTTCAAGCCACATGTCCATAGATCTCACAGCCCATAGCTGGACGGTGACTGTACGGGTCATGAATGACAGATGAGGACACCGTAGGAAAACGACTTACTTAGTTTTTCAATGTTAGGCATGACCTTGCTGCCTTTCTTCATGTACGATGCGCGGAAACCATCCACAGAGAAGATGATTAATGGAGGGCGAACAAACCTTAAACAGAAACACATTAAGCTCTAGAAAGCTTCTTGCCACAGAGTTTCCATTATGCTGAGTCATTCTCAATAATTGGGATCAAGAATTTCCATGATGAAATTCCAAGTGAGGACATCTGTTCAAGCCTGGGCTCCCAGCCACGTAACATTGGTGGCAACTGAAGTCCAGAGTGAAGTGACCAAAGCCATACAACAGCCAGGGAAGAGACTGGATTCCAGATTTCCCCTAATGGCCTGCCTCTACTGCTGCCTCTCACATTGCAAACAAGGTTTTTCACAATGTAAAAAGCTGTTGTTGTTGCCTGGAATATGCCCTCCCATTTGCTAGCTGGAAAACTCCTATTCATGCTTTAAAACCCAGCTCAAGGTCTCCTCTTCTACAATGTTAGCTGCTCACACTCCTGAATTCCTTTCAGATATTAATTCATACCTCTTTTATCATTTACATATATTACATTATAGTTATAATGATCTCTTAGCATGTGTCTCTTCACTAGCTTCAAATCACAGTTGGTAGTTTATTCATTTTCCTATTTTATAAATACATAGTAGGGATTCAATAAATATTTATCATATACAGGAATGAATGAATGAATGAATGAATAAATATTAATATCAAATTAATAGCAGTAGTACTAAGAACTAAGCCCTAATAAAAAATTATTTTAGGTTTAATCATAAAATAATTTTTAAAACAATTAAAATTATTGAAGATCTCTGAAAAAGTTAATAAAGAACTAAACTATCCATCTAACTAGGGTGTGGTCTGATGAAATAGACTCTTTGTTGTATTCTAAATATACAGGTGCTTGATCAGACGTGAGAATACTAAACTATGCACAAAATTGTTTCTAATAGTTAAATGATGATTCAGCAAGTTTAGGCTTAAGTTTATTTGCAGCCCCATAATAAATAAAGCATATTTTCAATGAGTCACAGATCAAGCACTTAGAACAATACTATATATGAGTTCATTATTATTATCATCAAACAGGGCTTCTACCACTTACACTGTTTTGCCCTCAAAGACAACTGAATACATTTAAAGTCAGAAACTATTGCCATCCCATTCTAAAAGTCCAAAGAAGTTCAAACAACTCATTAAAATTAAAAAAGGAGACAAAATCTAAATACTTGGGTTTTGTGTCCCATGCATACTGCCTAAAACAAAAATACACACGGACAAATACGTTAATGAAAACACATTTGCTGAAAATTTATTTTCTGCCAGGCATTTTAAGGGTCCATGAATTTTCAGCAGTTTCCTGGAAGGCATAATAAATGCCTTATGCTGGTCACCCTAAGCTGTGGGGTGTCACTCAGCTCAGCTTTGGCTGGACCCCAGCAAAGCACTGCTTCGGTGCTTTGTCAAGTTTCTTCAGCATCTGGTAGGAGTTACCATCTTGGATGATATTTTTAAGACTTTCTATAGTCCACCTGCCCCACCCCCACCCCACCCCCTGCCCAAAAGAGGCAAAAGCAGCACTTCAGGAAAAACACAGAAAAAACAAAGCCAAGAACTGCCAGAAACGTTTTTTTTCTCCTTCAGTGATATTTAGATACATTTTGTAAAATACTCAGCTAAGGTGGAATATAGGGGATATTAAGTTTCTGACATGTGCAGAGGTCATAAGAGGAAAAAAAAATTTTTTTTTAATTATACTGCTTCAAGATGTACATCCTAGCTTTTGGCTGGTAAATTATTCATAAGCATTCATACATTTATCTGCATAAGAGGATTTCAGTTTTATACCATTTTTAACCAACTCATATTCTGTGATATTTTATCAACGAATACATAAAATTTCATACTATTCATACACTTACCCTGCAGGGCATTCTGGCGTCTTTATTTCCTCACAGTCATCATCTACCCAGTGTGACTCGCCTATAAGGAAAATGGGTAAATTTATTGGTGAATCTAATTTAAAATGCTATCCCAGAGCCTTGAAGAGTATACAAGTCCAGGACCTATGTCTTGGTTGACACTGGCAGTTGATGGGACACCAACTAAAATGAAATTCTGAAATAAAATCGAGTATCTGGTTTGGCTTCCTAACATACACCCATACATGATGGGATGGCTAAGACTTAATAACCCCAAGTGGTTTTATGTGAGCCTTCTGAGTCTAAATGGTTTCTAGATAAAACACCAGCGGTGTCAGTGAACGAAAGTTCATGTTTGTTTCCCTCCAGAAATAAACTGTTTGGTCATTAGATGGAACATTCTTTTCTCCGCCACTGAATATCTCAAAGCCATAAAAAGGCATCGCACAACTTCCCTGTAATTGGGAGGAAAGCTTAGCATACTCAGGCATGATAAGTGGAAGATTGTAATAGATTGTCAGTGGGTCTGTGGACAGCCCTCAAATTTAGGAAGAAAAACCAATGCTATCTCTCACTTTTATCTTCCACTAAGATCTGAGAGCATAAACCTATGTCTTGCTTGAGTTACTTTATTAAGAATAGAGAACGGAAAAGAACTCAGATATAAAAAATGAGGTTTCCTTTAGAGAAAATGAAAATTATCAAAAAGCATTTGTTTAAAGTGTTCTAAAACAAACAATAATTATGAGTCTTCAACATAAGTAAAATTTACAACCAAAACTTTGAAGATATTACTCCCATGTGAAGAGCATTGGAAATCTCCTTGTCAACAATGACCTAACGATTGACAACTGTGTGAGTAAGTACTATGCTCCTTAAAATGGGGGAGCTGTTCCCCACATGGAATAGGCCAAGGTACACACATGGGTACTGCAACTGGAATTTTAAACCAGCAAAAGCCAATGTTTAATGATTCAATGACCAATGATACCGAGGGCTTTTTCTTTATTTTCTCCTCTGATAGTCTTTGTGGTTTATTGGTACATTGACTACATAGGGAAATAAAAGGGAAGAGGAAATAAATTCTCAATAAAATTTATGCTTTATCAACAGTTACAATAATTGTCTGCGTAGAGGAAATTTTCCAAACTCAGGATTACTGTAACGCTCTCTTGCCACACTATCTGCATTTCAGAACTGATTTGTTTTTCCCTGCAATCTTTTTTTAACTTTTTTCAATTACAGTTGGCATACAATATTATATTAGTTTCAGATGTACAACATGATGATTAGACATTTATATGACTTCCAAAGTGAGCACCCCGATAAGGTTAGTACCCATCTGACACCGTACACAGTTATTACAGCATTATTGACTATATTCTTTATGCTTAACAGAAACTCTTCTTGAATGTTCCACATTACAGCTAGGAAGGAGCACTTAATTTAGATACTAAAAAGTGACTTGCAAACTTTACATAAAGACTCTGGGATCTTTTCATTAATTTCTATAAGTGGGTGCCATGCCAACTTAAACTCCTTAAAGACAGAAATTGCCCCTTTTATATTTTTGGTAGCCCATTGACTAGTATTCATTATTGGAACAAAACCATCATCTTTTACAATCAGCCATCCAAATTCAGCATACCTGCATGGATGGCTTTGGGGTAGAACAGGAGCTGCTTGTGCCCTGATCCTCTTTACCAGAGGGTACCCCACCCCCCCAACCCCTTCAGGCTGAAGCTAGAGCCTCAGCTTACAGCTGCCATCCAATGGGTCCAAAAGCCAGGCCCCATTGCCACAGGGTAAGCATGCTGGGATTCCTTTCCAGAGCCCACGATAGAGCAGGCCAAGGGGAGACTTCCCCGAGACCACGTCCTTGCTTGCCTCCCCCACCCCCACTTCTTGTGCTCCCTTACACGGTTTTTCTGCAGAGCATTCCCTCAACAAATTCCATGTCTGGAAGTCCTGTCTTAGGCCCTGCTTCTAGGAAATCTGACCTAAGACTGAAACAGGAACTTTAGAAATCCCTCCATTACTGTGGTTCTAGGTTAAGTATGAAATCGGGGGTTATTTCAGGTCATTCAAATGCAGGGAAGCAAAAATAAGAAAGAAGTATGAGATATTAAAAAGCACAACACACTCCCTCTTCCCAAGCCCATATCCCAGGTGTTACATCCCCAACATCCAGGTCTGCTTGGTGCATCTCCAGTTTTTACGCTTTTGAAGCTGAAGCCACTCCAAGGAAACACGTACCTTTGCAAACCACTTGGTAATTAGTACAGCAGTCTCCCCTGGCCAAGCAGTCCTCGGAGCAGTGACAAGCATTGTCTTCATTTCTTACTTCTCCGCATCTGTCCTTCGTACATTCCCAGCCGCCAGCTGAAATCGGCACAAGAAAACACTTTCACTGCTTCACGCAAACCAGATGAAAGAACCCACAATCGCTTATAAGGGTTGCCAACAAAAAGAGCTAGAATCCCACATCATTTAATCTGCTTGTGAAATTAGAGTTGGCTCAAAGCCCAGGTGATATTTGGAGGGCTTACACATAGAATGAATGCCTAATTTTTCAAATCAGAGTGCAAAGCCAAACGCAATCGGGCTTCTCTGGAAAAAAAAAAAAAATGGAACCCTTACTGTTGGCGAACGGTTCTAACAGAACCAATAAAATGTATGGGGCCTGAGGTTTGTAACAGGGGCATATGCCATGGTAGGCCTACTCACTATTGTTCAGCTCTTTTAATTTCTGCAATATCTTTACTTAACTTTAATCAGCTTGATTTAAACACAAATATTAGTGCAACTGAATGGCCTCTACCTGCAATAAGATACTTCTGGAGGTTAAAGTCCTAAGCAGATATGAAGAAGATAAAGAAATATTAATAACACTCACAGTTCCAATCATTGACCAAAATGGGGCCCTGTCTACAATGATAGGTCAGAGTCCCTACTTTCAAGGAGGCCAGTAGATGGGTTACAGATTTCTGTCTGAGCATACTTGATGGTATGACTCAACTCTTTTTTGTTTGACTTTTTCATTCATGAGACTGTAAGCTCCAAGGCAGAAAAACACATATCTCCCCTTTCACTATTATATCTCCAGTGCCCAAGAATGTGCCTGGCACACACTAGGTATTCCATGAACACTTATTAAAGCTAATTGAAAATTACCATGAAAATAAAATATGACCCTTTTAAAATTTAGGACTGCTGTATTGAGACACTTCATAGTTAAATCATGTATTCAATAAATATTTCTATTCTATTGTCCATGTTCAAGGTGCTGCGGAGGTGGTGAAGAACAAGAAAGACATGGTTCTGTCTTTAGGGAGCTTCCCTTGCAATTAGGACAGACAGATCATAAGCAAGTAAACAAGATAACTTCAGCTTGTGCTAAGTGCTGTGAAGGAAATAACAGGATGGTATTGACAGAAAGCGACGGGGTGGGGCAGGGCGGTAGGGCCTGCTACTTGAGGTAGAATGGTCAGGAAAGGCTTCTCTGAGCGAAAGGACACTCCAAGTCTTCCTGTCTTCAAATATGTCATAAGTGGAAGGCAATGATTTTAGAAAGTAATGCTGCTCCTTAGTAATGGCGTACTAAGAGATAATATTGTTATTGAACAAACCGATAAAGAGATATTAGTCACCATGCTAGAAAACCATGCAACTACTGTTCAATTTCCAGTCTCTTAGAATTACCTTTGCATCCTTGTTCCATTCTCTGATTTTTTGATATCCCTGATATTCCTGACTCACTTCCCAAGCAGGTTAAATGCTTAGAATTCCTTTATCCAGGACCCAATGGTTAGCAATTTTCCAAGGTTACTTTGACTAATAGAAATCATGGTTTGTTTTTTGTTTTTTGTTTTTTTTGTTGTTTTCTTTTCCCAATTCAAGGATAAGTCTATCTGCCAACATACTTTTTTTCCTCCCCTAATTCCATAAGAAAATCCCTTTGCTTACAAAACAGCATCACTATTCACAAGCTAGATTTAGTGAAGAACTACTAACTTCACATAAGGACAAAATTTTAAAAATTCAGGGTTCAGAGTGAACTACAAGCAAGGTATGAATCAGTCAGCTGGGTAATTTTCAAGGCAAACATGAGAAAAACATTAAAAATATTTAACCTTATAGAATAATAAGAAACTTACCTATCATATCAGAAAAAAAACTTTAAAATATGAGAGTATCGATTTTAAAAATGAGAATTGCTGTAAATGGAGAGGTAAAAGTCTCTTGTGCCCTTTGAGAGAAATATAAACTTTGAGAAGTATAATTTGATAATATCTATTCAAATTTTTTAAATGCATATAAACTTTGATCCCCAAATTCCACTCCCAGGAATTTATCTTAAGGAAAATAGACAAAAACATGAATATGCTGGAATAATGTTCACTGATACATTGTTAATAATAGCAAAAGTGGGGGGGAAATATAAATGCCCATCAATTACTCAATGAAGTAGGTTGGGTCTGTTCAATGGAATACTATGTAAGCATTTAAAAGGATGATGTGTGTAAAGATATATAAATGCAGATACACCCTCAAATGCGTATATATATACACACTTGTATAAATATACGTACACACATGTATTTTAAACACACAGGCACACACACACGCACACACACAAAGCAGTCAGGGTTTACACTAAAACGCTGATTGTGCTTATCTGTAGAGAACGCTTGTGTCAGCATAGTAGAATCTCAAAGACTTTTATTTTCTCCTTCAACCTTTTTTACTATTTGATATTTGATTCTTCCACATCAGGCATAGGTTATCTTTACACACAGGGAAATAAACTACTTGAAAAATGTTACTGTAGTCCATATTTATTAAACCTGGGGAGAAAGGCATGAGTTGCATTCAGAGAGAGCTAAGCTAGAGTCAGGAGACCCATTAAACTTTGCAAGGAGCTCTGAGACCAGGAATCCAGAGAGCTGGGATGACATGTCAGAGACAAGATAATCCGGATAGAGTGGAAACATAAAATGGTAGTTACTTCCTCGGTGCCCAGCAAACACAGACTGCTCGTTGGAAATCATGTTTTAGAGCCAAAGGTCTCTGCTGGGACATCTGTTCCTTCCATACATCCAGTTTACAAGGTTCTCATCATTTAAGTTTTCAGGCCCACACTACAGAAACTGGGAGGCGTTCCAAAGGAAAGTAAACCCCACTCCCTCCAAATGGCCCAATGTTTGGAAAATACATTATGCAAAAAACAACCTACTAAAACTTTTCTTAACTGGGGGGCGGGGGTAGCAAACAAATCAGAACGAATAAGGGACCTGATGTCAGTTTTCATATACATGAAGGGCTATCTCTTTAGTAAAGGTGAATAATGTCTCTGTGCTGATATTGTTAGAAAGAGCAGGTTGATATCAATGATAATGAGTTAGATTTTTGAATGAATCATCAAACCATAAAAGTCCGAGAATAAGGAGTAATTTGTCAAAGGAGCAGTGGCATCTCTCATCTAGGGGCCAGAAGCACAGGGGTGATTCCCATGTTTCTCAGAGTCTGACTGTGATGTCGCCCAGAGGCATGGTGGGCAGCCGGCAAGGTGTCTTCAAAGTCCCACCAACAGTGCTGGGCTTTGGAAACAGAGCAGGCGGAATGGCAAACATCTGTGAAGGGGCTTTTGCTCAACTCATGTGCATTCATTCAGAAGACTATGTATTCTACTGACTGTTCCAGTAGAGAAGAAATGTAAAGAAAGTCAGGAAGATTTTAGGGCTACCCAGAGCTTGCAACTCCGAGTAGAATTCCATAACAATTTTCTAAGTGCACAGAGAATGGGGAATAACATCCAAGTAGACCAATTGTCACTACAAGATAAGGTGACATAAGACAAATGCTAGAAACTGTGCAGACAAACATAGATAGATGATTGATTGATTGATTGATAAACAGATAGATGCAAAAAAGAAAAAAAACCTAACACTTTAAGATTGTGCACAATTTCAGCCTATGTGCCTAAGAAGTGAATGTAGGAATTGACAGCAAGAGACAGAAATGATGAAGATGAGGAAAAAAAAAAGCCTGGCCACGAATATTTCCAAACCCAGCAAATAATGATTGCAGTGGCACACAACCTTCTCTGGGTGGGCCTTGTGTGCAAGCAACAGTCACACTGGGTGTGCCTGTCATACAACTGCAATCATTCAAGAAATAAAACTAAACTGCACAGTTTGGTTTGGCAAAAGCAGGGTGGCAATGCCAGGGTGTACCATGGCAGGGGGGTTTAAGCCATCGAATCGAGGCTAGATGACTCAAAAGTTGCATACCTGTCTTCAAACAAAGCTCGTCAAAGTCATGGCAGCAACTGCTATAGCTCTTACACAGGTTGTCACACCGACAATCTGGGGGTCCAACCTCTTGAAGTTCAAAGCATCTGCCCCTACAAGATCCAGAGGTGTTTGTCCAAGGGGAGTCTGATAACACTGCAAGAGACAAGAGACAAAGGCTGTGAGGCTGGGGAGTGGTCATGTCACCTTGGAGGGGTGGCACTGGAAGTGAGACAGTGTGGTGATGCGGTCAGTCCCTGGCTGTACAGCCTGGCTCATCTCCTGCTGGAGCGATGGTCCCTCGGCAGGTTGTTGAACTTCCTCATGCCAGTTTCCTCATCTATAAAGTGCCCCGATTAATAAAAGGAACTGGAGGTTATAACGAGCATTACATGTAACAATCCATGCAAAACACTTAGCAGATGGTCAGACATGTAGAAAGTGTAACAAGTTTTGACTATCAGTTTTATTACTCTTAACAATTATCATGACTACAAATCTCTGAGGGTTAATGTCTCTGTGGATACTAATGATGCCAAGACAAAACAGAACTTCAGTCTATATGCTTCATAACAATAGCTCATTTTCCTATTTTAAAATCTATAGGTTTGGTTTTCTTTGTATGGAAAATTGAGCCTACATGTTCTGAGAACAGTCTGAACATATGGGATTGGAACAGAGGCTTTTAAAGCCTCTTCCAGCCATAAAATCTACACCTGTAACTACAGTTACACAAACACAAATGCCACAATCTCGGTGTGTGAAAAATAAATCATCTTTCATTATTTCCATATGATAGGATCGTATATCTAGAAAGCTCAAGGATCAACTGAAAATGTGAAAAGAAAAAAAAATTCAGTGAGATGATAATTCCACAAATTTGTAACATACAGGCAATACAAATTCAAAAATTAAATGGAAGTTCCATTCATCATAGTATTAAAAGATAAAATATCTAGGTATAAATGTAACAGGACATGTAGAACCTACATGAAGAACACATTAAAACACTACACAAAGATATTCTAAAGGTTTTAATTACATGGAAAGACATACCATCCTGGAGGTTAAAATATCAATATTATAAAAACATCAGTTCTTCCTAAATAAACCTAAAGATTTAATACAATCACAATAAAAATATGAAGAGGGTTTCTTGAAACTTGAGAGAATATTAAAAGTCTATCAAAGAATAGACATGTGAAAATAGAAAAAAAAACTGAAAAGGAGTAGTAATTTGGTGAAGACTTGGTAGTAAAATATATTCTGAAGTTAAATAATTAAAACAGTTTGTTACTAGAAAATAAGTAGATCAGTGTTAGAGGTAGGGACAAGAAATAGAGCTAAATATATGAGAACTTATTTCATAACGAAAGTAAGGTTTTAAATCAGAAGAAGAAGGAAAGCTTAATCAGTAAGTGAAAGAAGAATCAGTCAGTAAGTAGGGTTAGAACTGGCAGACTGGACAAAATAAGCTGGATTCTTATCCTAGCTTACCAAATCATTAATTTCTGATGAACAGAAAGTATAAGCAGTGTCACGCCTGTTGCTAAAAATAAAAATACTTGTAAAATAGAACACGATTTGGAAATATCTATCAACTTTTTTAAATGCGTATAAATCTTTCACCCAGAAATTCCATTACTAGGAATTTACCTCTCATATATTTGCAAAAATTTGCCAAGATATATGTACAAGAAAGAATCACTATATCCCAGCCCTTAAAAAGAATGAGTAGAAACAACGGAAATGCCCATCAGTAGATGACTGGATTAAGAAATTGTGGTACATTTACACAATGGAGTATTACTCCGCTATAAAGAAGAAGGAAATCGTACCATTTGCAATG